TTGATGATAAATGCAAAATAAACATTTAGTATAAAACTAAGGATACTACAATTAATAAATAAACTATTAAAATATCCTTTACTTATAAATTTAGTGTTAACCTAATATGCTTTAAGAATTTTAAGTTTGATTAGTATTGTTGCGCCCTCAAATATTCACGGCTGTAAAAAAAATATAAAGTTTAACTTTTTAGCTTTGTATGAAGATCCATTACACATACATATAAAAAGAGACGGTGCAACATTTATAAGAGAAATTAAGATTTTTATGTGGAAAATCTTGAAAAGGGAAAAAATCATAAGGTCTAACCTTGTTTGAATGAATTCACTATTATTTACAGTCAATGACACATAAGGTCATTCCTTGGGGGAAGTCATTAGCTTGATGTAACAAATATACATCATATAACATGTGTTACATGATGGGACTTGAAAGAATCAATATTGATACATTTGTTTGGTCGATAGAATCATAGTCGACGGGCAACGAATGTCGGAAAAATCATAATCTGGTGATAGTGGTCGGAGGGACCGTAGTCGGTAAGTAATAGTGGTCATAAAAGACCGTTGTCTGACAACAAAGGTTGGAAGGATTGCAATCTGGCTATGGATGTCAGAAGGACCGTAGTCGGCGTGCGACAGTGGCCAGAAAGATCGTTGACCGACAACATATGTCAAAAGTATAGTAGTCGGCAGGCGATAATAGTCAGAAAGACTGTTGTTTTGTGAAGGAGATTATAAGGACATTAGTCGGTTGGCGACGGAGGTCGGAAGTTCGGCATCGGGTATAAGTCCTATGAAAGTTTGACGACGCGCAGAAGTCCAACGTCAGGTAGAAATCTGGCGAAGAACCGAAGTTTGGTGTTAGATAAAAGTCTGGAGAAAGACCGACGAAAGTCAGAAGTTTGACGTCGGGTATAAGTCCGTTGAAAGTCCAATGATAAGAAGAAGTTCGACGAATGGCATAACTTAGGCGTCGGGTAGAAGTCCGACGAAACTCGGTGGACGATCTCTACTATAGCGTTAGTTGATGGTCGGGTAGTACTCTAATGTTAGTTGGAATTCAAGAAGAACTCCGTCGTCAGTCGGCTGTATGGCAGAACTTCGACCTCAGTCAACGGTTGGGTAGAACTCTAGCTTCAGCTAGCATTCGAGCATAACCCCAACATTGGTAGGTTGTTGGGTGGAAATCCAGAAATGGTCGAGGAAAAGTTTGAAGAGTCTAGTGGCAAGAAAGCTCTTTTCCTTTTATTCCTTCTCATGTTGAATCCCTTGATTGTGGGCTGTTTAATTTGCATTTGAATGTCTTAACCATATCAGAATTTGATGATTGTGGGCTCGTTGGATTTGTCTCGTTGAGCCGCTCTATTCGATTATAAGCATGTCATGTTTGGAAACTGTTTGTTAATCCAAATTATGATTGAAGATTCCAAATGTGATTTGGGTCTTTGATTCAGACTCATTGGAGCTCGGATTGAGACATTCAGTTCAAGACGTTGGAAACTATTTGGTGTCATTGGGTTCGTATTTTCGAGATGTTTAGTTCAACTGTAAGTTTGTTGAAATTGGAATGCATATGATATCTCATTTAATTTTTAAAGTTTATAACTTGATTTTCCCTTGAGATTCTTGTCCGATCAAGATAATTTTCCGATGATGTATCAAGCATGAATCTTGATGAAATATTTAGAAATATTCAAAATTAAATTTAGAATAATTTTAACATTGAGAACAACAAAGTTACAATCAAATTAAACATCTTGATGAAACAAATCTAACAACTTAACATATGATTCAATCCAAGTCCAAAAAAGCCTAAATCAAACACTGAAATGATAGTATAACACTTTGAAACATTAATTGAATTATGAAATTGTCTTTGAATTTTCCATTATTATAATCAAAATGAGCAATTTGACAAGATTAAACAAACAAGCCAACAAATACTTGATTTGAGGTCATTAAAGTACTTAAATACTAAATAAATAAATTATGATAAAATTTTTTAATATGATTCATTCAATGAAATGCTATGAAAACTGACCTAAATTTACTAAAATGCTAATTCTAAAATTAGTATAAATAAATTTTCATTTTTCACATTAAAGGATCCCGAACTTAAATTTAGATAAGCTCAATAAGAGATTTGATTAAACTAGTGGCGATAAATTTGAGGTTCAAATTTGGGATGGAGGCTCAACACTAGAAGAGTAGATAAGACGAAGCTGATGAGAGCTTGTGGATAGACGGGCACACATAAGAGGGGGAGCAACAATTTGCGCTTTATCACCATTGTTGATTGTGCCTGAAGTTAACCATAGTGGGAGAATTAACGCTTGAATATATAAAGATGATTATGAATGAAAATTATGAAATTGAAGATGTGTTTTTATTCTTATACAAAAAAATTCAGTGCTTATAAAGATATATAAAAAGTATAAGTTGAATTTATATATGTAGAAATTACAATAAGAAATATAAATAAAGATACATAATATTAAGCATGCAATCACCTTTACTAGAATGCAACCCCATTCAATCAATTTAGACCGTGGTTTTTTCCCTCTTCTGGGTTTTACACTTAAAAATCATAGTGTTCATTTTATTTTCTGTTTGTGTGCTGAATATTCGTGCAACGCTCTGACATGAATTTTTAAACTCTACCGCCGCATATATTCTAGTCCGCAACAACAATTAATGCAATTAGGATGCTATTTTTACTTATTACTAACTTATTTATGTGTAATTTTAATAAGTATCCCCATGCTAATTATAATGGTAAGTATAACAAGAAATTATTTAATTATAATTTAAAATAATTAATAATTTAATTACTATTTAGTATTTACATTACAAATTATTTCATTAAAAATTTAAATACTATTTTGATAAAATTTTAATTACTAATTACACTTATAATTATATAATTAATTAAATAAAGATTCTATTACTAACTAATTATTTAATTAATATTTATACTACTAATTACCTAATTAATTATTTATATTTTAAAGTATATTAATTCAGCTAATTAAATTAATGCCGAATTGAGAAATTAATTCCACCGGCTACAGATTTCAGTGCGGGACACTTCTCCTTCTTCGTCCCTTAAAAATCTTCCCTCCTTTGATTGCTTAGTAAATGACAACGACGAGTTGCCGACGTATTTCAACCGGAGAACGATTTTTCGTCGATATTTAAAACACAAAGCCCAGATCCCGCCATCTTCTTTTCATGGGATTTGAGCAACTTCATCCCAACCACCGCAGCAGTGCCGGTGGTGTTAACTCCGTCGATGGCATTTCCCACCACCAGAGCGTGCATAGTCCTAGGTACTCAGGATCCATGACTCGACGAGGCCAATCGTTTAAGCGCTCCGGCGTAAACGGCGGAGAGATCGAGCTTCAGATCAACTCCCCTCGTTCATCCCCCGTTAGCGCTGGCGGCAGCCTCTCGAACGAGGGTGCGGAGCCAACGTCGCCGAAGCTACCTTCTCCGGTTGCGGAGCGGTGGCATCATGGACAGAATCTTCGCTCCCGGTTCGGGATTCAGCTTCTGGGAAAAGGCGTGTTCAAGAAGCGGGCGTCAGCGCTACATAAAAGGCGGCTGGGGAATTTTTTGTTCTTGGTGTTTTGCAGCGTTTGTTTGTGTCTTGGACTGATGAAGATGTTTGCTGGCAGTTGGCTTGGGTGGCTCCTGGTGGAGAGAGTCGAGCGGCACCAGGTAAGGGTTTTCTAATAGAGAGATCTGAAGATGTTACTATTTTTTGTTACTCTGTTGTTATATGTATTTCTTGAAATATGCTGTTTTGTTTTATCTTTTAATCTGGGGACAAGGATAGTCTTGTTATAGTGGAGGAGTCAGAATTAATTGCAGATACCTAGGAAATTTTCCTTGCTTGGTGTTTTTATGCCTTTGAAATTTGCAATATTAAACAAATCAGCGCACTCTTGCTTTATGGTTCTTGCATAAGTTAACTTATCTGTTGCAGGCAACATTAAACATTTGTTATGGTTCTCATTAGCTATTGTTTATAATCGTTGATATCCTATACTAATTATCTCATCATTCTTCTTGGGTGTTATTCTGCTTTTGGTAACTTGGTAAATAATTTCTTTGATTCTTCTCTTCTACAAAAATTTCTTCCTTATAATCCTTATTTAATGATTTCTCAAAGCGGTTTTTAAAAAAAAAAAAACTTTTCCTTGATTTCTTCTTCTCCTATCAAGGTCTAATTTTATCACTTATGATACATCCAATCTTACCAAAGTTCTTAAACCTCTTTATATTTGGCTTAACCATTTTTGTTTTCATTCTCCCTTAATATCCAACCATATACAAATGACGAATGGTCTAGATTTAACATTGCTTTTTATTTAGCAACACTTTAATTTTTATTATAACTCTTATCTCAATTATATTTATTTAACTTTTTAATTTTTCAAATTGCTTATTTTCTTTGTTTGATAATCATTTGTATGCCTTTGCTCCAACAAGTTCTTAAACATATATACAATTTCTTTCTAGGCTCTCTTTTAACTTTATTTGGAAAATTCTTTAATGCAACTAACCAATCTATAATGTTGAGCTTGATAAATGACCAGGTTGCCTCACTTGAGCCCATTTCTTGAATTAAAAAATGTAGTTTCTATAATATAGGGTTAAGTTTGCATGCAATAAACTAGGGTTGCATATCATTCAATCTCGAGTCAATCAGACCCAACCAAGATTGGCTCAAAGTCATATCATATATGATCTTGAGTTGAGTCAAACCTAACCATATGTTGGCTTGATTATATCTTGATCCAAGCTAGGGGTGGTCCATTTATTTTGATTTGAGCTTCATCTGAGCCAAGTATTGATTAGTTTTGCATTTTAGGAAATATTCAGATGCGGGTGCCAGTAGCCCAACTGCCCAGGCAAGAAGTAACTTAGCTACTCAGGTGGGTCCCATGACCTCCTTTATCACCTTTAGGAGAAGAGGCTTTTGGTGTGTGTGTTTTGGGGGGGACTCTTTGGGAAAGATGTAAGGGGCATTTATTATGGGATTTGAGCTATTTAAGGGGGGAGATTGTGGAGGATTTGGATTTACGTTATGTTTTGAATTTCTGCCTTAGTTTTTGTGAGGTGTTTGGCTTCCTAGTAGCTGCTAGGAATCGTGAGAGAGACGATTTACCTCTTGAATAGTAAATCAACTTGTATCTTGTTTTTGCCTAGAAATTAGTAAAAAAAAGTTATTTTAGTGTATTTTTGGATCTATTTGGAGTAAGTTACTGTTTTTTAGATTGTTGTGTGTTGTTTTGATCATCAAGTCCTATCATATTCCTAGTCACCATTTTGATTGGCCAAAGTTTCATTTTTTGAAGCTAAAAATGACTTATTCATGGAAGGGTTTTAGAGAGCTCGATGAGAGTGTATAAGATTCCTTTTGTTTGGGTGAGCGATTCATCAAATGTAATGGATGAATGAGCCCCTTTGATATCCCAGAATGTTATGTATGAGTTGATTCTTGTAGTGTTGGATGAGTTAATTCCCAATTATCTTATGTAGTCCTTCGTAGTGATAAAATTTCTTACTATCTACTTTTAATTTTATTTCATTTTTTTGGTCTAGATCAAATTGGCATCAAAGAAGGTTTTGTCGTGTCTGAACTAATGGATATTTGATGTAGAATAAGGGCAAATCATAATTAAAACCATGATAGTTATGCGACTTTAGCGTATTATGTATCTTATGATGTGTCCTTTTCATGTTATAAGGTTTATATTTCTCAAGATGTAAGACTTTATGAGACATTTGTGTTATCTTGTTTAGTTTTATGTCTATTTAATATTTTAAGTCATGTAAATACAAGTTAGTCATTTGTACCCTTTGGTTTCTATGTATATGAGAAGGTAGGATTTTATTTTAATGAATGGCGTGATAGTTTGAATGAAATATTCCTTGTATGGCTGACTATCCCTTTAATGGGTTTTTTCTTTCCTCCTTGGTAAGTCTGTTGTGGATTTGTAGCTAGAATGAGGATGGAGGACTTTTGCTAGATGCTTAAAGCTTCCCAAGTTGTTACCAATCATACGATCTATTATTTAAATAGATAAATGTTTCTTTCCATTATGAATAACAATTGTATGGTCAATCATTGTGGATAAAATGGTAGATTATCGAGACTAAATCACTATGATTTCTTTCTTCTCCCTCCCATTGAGATTTTCAATTATTCTTGCTAAATAATTAGCTAAAAAAGGAATTTTTTTTAATGAACATGTTACGGCTGATTATTTCTTTTTTTAATAATTTTTAAAATTGACATTCTATGTTTCTCTCTTAAATCTTATAAGAAGTTTTTTTTTTTAACTCTTATATCTTTTCTCTTCTTCATTTTCTTTGATTTATATTTCTACTTTCATTTGCCATCATTTAGTACCCAAGCAAGTAAAATACTTTGGGATAATACTTATTTTATTGGTAAAGACCATTTTTACCACATCCTATTTTCTATCATTCTTGTTGTTCAATGTTTGCACATCAAATGAATTCAATTTTGCTTGGAATTTTTATGGTGTGACCTTATGTATTGGCATTCTTATATATATATATACCCCCACCCCACACACACAAATCAAAGTTTTGGGTTTTTTAGTTCATTTCTTCAAATTTTTTTAAGTTGCACTATTTTTGTATTCATCATACTCCTTTATTTTTCGCATCTGAAGTTCATAAAATTTGGGTTGTTTTTTTGTCTATAAGTTCTATTTAACTTTTTTCTTAGGATGCATTTTTCTCATTTCCACAACAAAGTGTCCAAAAATAGTAAAACCTCTCACCCAACCTTAGCTAGCATTGACCTATGTTAATCATTTTCCCAATTTTTGCTAACCCAACCCTAAGGCTAGTTTTGATTAGTTAAAATCTGACCCTTCTGACTCTTTAACTCTGTTTAGATCAGGTTTGTTGGTCAAAGTTGGTTAAATTCAATTTATTATGTTATTTATTACTTGACATACAACAGCTCACCCCCTTTTCTTATTAATAATAGTCTACATAAACCTAAAGTCACTTTTCTTTTCCATCCTCTCCTCTTAAGAGTCATATACATGTGTCTAAAGTCCACTTACTCTCTCTTAAGCCCCCCTTAGATGGCCAACCTTTCCTCCTTGATCCAACTTTATCTAAGATTTCTAAATCATTTCCTCCTGGTGGTGCCTGAGCATTATTTAAGGTTTCTAAAACTTGATGTCGGCCTTCTGAAGATTATGGTGTTTTTAGAACTACCTTCTCCACTTCCATAGTTTCGACCACATCTTCAAAGAAAGTTTGATGAGGATATCTGCCAGAAATTCAAACATTTGTATTGTCGGAGGAATCGTAGATCGATTGCTACGATTCAGAGTATGTATTTTTTATGTATTTTTTTATTCTATGTATTATGTTTCATTTGAGTTTTCTCATTTTACCCCTATGAGGAATTGAGTCTATGTTGTAGCCTGAGGGCACTTTAGTCTTTTCGGTTTTCTTTCATTTGAGTCTATTTATAGGAGGCCTCTTGCATTGCATTGAGATGATGAATTATGAAGAAAATTTTAGCTTTCTTTGATCTCTTAGTGAGTTATTAAGAAGAAACCCTAGGTGGGTGAAAACAATACCCATTAACCTTTGGAGGATTCCAAGGTTCACGATTCTATGATCTCTTTGTGAGTTTTTGATTCTTTTATTTTAGTCTTCATCTTCCTCTTTCCTCTCCCTCTATACTGCCGGAAATCCCTTCCCTATCTCCCCAAACCGACGGCCTCAACCCCTCCCCTTGATTCCCCATTACCCGCCACCCCTCCACCTAACAAGTCGCCGGCCACTTCATCAACCCGACGGCCGGCCCCACCCCACCAACCCTCTCCCACCCAAGCCTAACCCTCCGACTACCTTGTCCCAAATTTATGAAATTCAAAATCCAATTGCCTTCATTTACTTCCCATCACTCAATCTTCATTGCTCCCCACTCAAGGCAAGCATGAATGGTCGATTAAGAGATTGATCCCGGATTCATAGAAGATTCCACGGAAGAATATGTGGACCGCATTTTATATCAAGCGACCCTTTCAATTGAAGAGCTCATCCTTCAGGGCTGCTGGTACGTTGTCAATCATCCACCTACACTTCCTACTTTGACTACCTTTCCAACGACTACTACCCGAGGCTTCTACCTTCTATTAGTGGCATCACTAAGTGTGTTGATCTTGCTTCTCCGTCGAACCCTACCAACTTGAGAGAGAGTGACTATTGGAGCTCAAGGTGAACACATCACTTTGTTAACCCGTGGATTGTGTTGAACCAGTCCTTTCATTACTTAATATTTGTTGTTATTTTAAAGGATTCCCTAACTTTAGTTTGTGATCGATTGCCTATGCGTAGCTTCTTCATAAGAACTTCTTTGAACCTATTAGTGTGAAGTATTAAGATTTAATTTATCATTGCTCAACAATTTATTTATTAATACTCTCAAACAATTCCTGGTTTCACATCAAAGTTCTTTTAGGGTCAAGAGAAAAATCATTACTGAAATCATGATAGTTATGCAATTTTAATTTATTTCTTTTGTATGTCCTTAGAGGCTTTCGTTTGAGTATCTAAAACTGAATATATAGAGTGTAATTTTAGTAATAATAGACTAGGAGGGGGATTTTGATTTTAGGTGATCAAGTCATTAATAATAGTACATGTTTTAGATA